TTTCCCATATCAAATAAGACACAAATTCCATAAGTGTATCGCGATATTTTTCGCAGATGAGTGCTACACTTAGTGATTTCTTTCCTTTTCTTAAATTTATAGAAGATCGATAGGGAAGCAGTAACTTTCTACTCTTTCAGTAGCAAGGGAATTTTTTTGAAATTTGAATGACAAATTGTACTTAGGTTGAATGCTGCCCAAAAGAGATTGTATATCTACTCTCATGTACGTAAATATGAAAGAGAATTTTGCCTACAGATTGTCCTAATACCGTCTTTAAAGGATATACATTTCTGGAATGATTTTGTTTTTATAACTTGGCAACCATAAGCACCACCAAGTCATATCGTAACGTGAAAATACTTTTCTCGATAGCGAAAAAGCTGAGTTTTGTGCCAAATAAGGGCTCAAGGCCACTCGTCGGCAGCATTTTTTTTAGAGCTGAAAAGTGGATCTGTTTTGAGAATCCCCAGCATAAAAATCCGTGAGAGATTCAGACATGCACATTGCCTGTATCGCTTTGTTAGGAACATGATATTCTGTGTCTGTTCTACTATTAAACGTTGGAAGCACTCAATTAGAAAGCTTATACGCCTTACTCCCTACCCTCGAGCCGTTCCGATTGCCACTTGTTTTCATCGATGGGAGATGTATTTGCTGAGCAGCGCTTTACCTCTTACGAAAATATACGAAAATGTCTCTTTGACTGACCTACCCCGGGTAGGGAAAATGCTTAGCTAATGGTGTGCAATACTCAGTAAAGAGCTGAGCTTTGTAGTTTCTATGGCTTTACTTATTAGAATTGATAACAGTTGAAGCCGCATAAGCTATTGTTCTTGTCTTGCAATTAAGCTGACTTTTTCCAATTAAGCTCCAAGTCTGTCAATTATATTTTCAAACAAGAAATTCGACTAACGTCGTATATATTTATCAGATGGTATTGGAAGTTATTATACAAAAAGAATAAAATAAAGGACTGTAGTTGCACTAGAGGCGGTTAGATCCGTTTTAAATACCAACCGGCGTGGAATAAGTTCCAATGGTTCTGTCACACTTAAAGCTAGAGAGCTGATAGCTTCTTGTTTGCAATCAGGAATACATTAAGCGCAAGCATTGCAAAGATGGACAGATAGACAAGAGAACAATCTTAACTCGATGCAGAGTCTGATTCTTATCCAGGACATGCATATTTGTAGGGATGCGGTTCTGAGCTCGGTACACCCCTCATACTTCGGTGATGAGCATAAAATTTCTAAATAAGCAACGTATGGTTTGAAAAGTAGAAAATGGAAAATTAATGCAAAAACAATAAACTAATAAATAAATGAAACTAATATTTCTTTTAATTAATTATTCCAAATGTGATAATTAAGCGTTCATTAAAAAAGACAACTCGAATGCCTATTCATTTTACGCCAATTTCTGATACTGCACTGTAACTACATTTTTGAAATTATTAATAATATAATAAAACAATGTACAGTAAAGTCTTCTCTAATGCGGTTAATTCGTACCGCGTTATAAGAAACGTAAAAAATGATTTATATCATATTGCTTTATATGAACATCACGCATCCATTAGATAGAAAGCGTACGGCCGTGCAAATTAGTACAAATAGAATGAGTTCGACATAAGTCCGATCTCAAACTGGTCAAACTCCTAATGAATAAAATTGTATAATAGAAATTATTCTTATTATTAGTTTAGCCAGGGAATAAACTCTAGGACTAAAACCGTAAAGCATTCCCATCTGAGGCTATCGGCTTGTAGTAAACATTAGAAATTTCATATTGTTCTATTATTTATTACCACTGCAAAGTAATTATCAATAAAGAAAAATTTATGTTAGTAAGGGATCAATAAGAGATAAAAAGTGAAATTAATTCGTGGAATATTAGCACAACTTTCGATCCAATATCGAAAAAAGGGATGCTTCTAAGTTTTTCAAACAAAACAAGAAAGAAAGTTGTACTCGGTTGTAATTGAATCGTTTGCATCCATCACTTTTATCCAAAAGAGTCCTAAAGAGAGAAACGATAAAAGCAATTTTGCATTCCCTATAATATTGGATGGGCATGGTTGATGTTTTTTATCTTTCCAAAATAAAAGTTGATATTTATATCGCTTCTGCGTTGTAGTTTATGAGCACCTGGTAAAGAACCCGGAAATCAAAGGTGTTCACAGCTTTTGCCTTTTTGCGAACGGAAGAAAGTTTACCACAAATAATACACAATTGGGCAGACGAAAATACGGATATGCTTAGATGTGCATTCCGAATTCGACACTGGACAAGAATGTATATGAAGTTTTCAACGCTCCTTTCTGGGTGTTGCAAAGGTTTCGCAAAATGACAATATACGTCCTTCTTAGGCGGTGGGCATAAATATTATTCAAAAAAGTCTCGTTATAAAAAGCCTGACTGTAATGTAAAAAATCAAGAGACAGAGATAGAGAGAGATGTAAATATATAATTCAATATGCATGAATGAATGAAATTATTAAAGCAAATTTTTAAAAATAATGACTTTTTATATCCATTACCGAAGGATGCGACTTATATTCATTTTGTTAAAGCCTTTGCAATACCCAGAAACAAGTTTTCGATTAGCTCCACATTCTGATCCGATTCAAGCAAGTTCGTCTGTCCGGTTGTGTAATGTCTGTGGTATAAATTCTGCTGGTCCAATGTGGACGCAAAGTTCCTTGTTTGGACCTTAACAAAACTAGGGTTAGTTTTCTTATATAATTGTTTATTTTATTGTTTCTTTTTATATCGCAATTAAACTACATTTAAATAATGCATTGTTAATTTTACCTGTTGTACGTCCGTCATGTTTTATTTTCCCGTTTTTTATTAATTTGCGCACACCAATCGTCATCCACGCAGAACAGAATAGCGTAGGGTACGTTAATGTAAAAAGCAATGCAGTGCACGTGTATGAAGTGTCATATGAAAGAACTAAAAAGCACGAAGCTAAAATGCGTGTGAAATGGAGAGGGTCGATAATTTGACTGTGGAAATTTATGTAACTTGTTGACGAGTTTTAAAGAAAGAGAAGATTGCGGAGTAAGTTGTGTCAAAAATGCTGCGATTGTGAAAACGATTTTCGAAATGTGGAATGGCGAGTAGAAATGGCAACATTCAAACAAACTGAATATAATCAGGAGATTGTGAGGCTTCACATGTACATGATCATTACGTGTCGTGTGATTAAACATTAGCTCATTAATAGAGTAAATAATGTCACGTCTGCCAAGTAGCGTCATTTATTTACGGAAATAGAGATTATAAGTGACGACCATAGGGTGAATTATCCCATCGCTGTTGCTAACAAACAACTGAGTGTTTCTTGTCGATCGCCCTCAAATCAGCCGAAATCGGAGGATGATCATTAAAATGTGGTGGTCTGGTAGATGCAATATTATCTGCAGTGGTGTTGCCAAGAATGCCCATGCGACTAAATATCCAGAGAAAATGAAAACAAAATGTCTCAGATTTGAGACTATATAAAAAAGATCTGACTTCTAATACATAAGGGTGAGTTTCGCATGAGGGAAACGATTTCAAAGCGGTTAAGACAGATTTACTGCCTAACACTTTAAGGAATTTCTTTTCAAGTTGAGCGCTCGCTAAGCAGATGGGTTCGAGGATCGCAAAACGTTCTGCTATAAATATATTTCGTATTAATATTTGGGAGCCAAAAACAGCTACAACATCGATCTTCGATCCATTAGTATAGATGAGTGAAAAATGCGTCCATTTCGTATTAACGACGTTGGAGTAGCATTGATGCGCTTCTGCAGATGGATTTTCTCACTACTAAGGATTTAATTAATGACCGAAAATAATGAGAACCAAAGGGAATTTGGAATAAGCCGTGTACATCAGTTCTTAAAATGTTGAAATTATTAAATTTGTCAGCAAAAGTTTTAAATTTAAAGTAGTAAGGAGAGGGGTTGAGTGGTAGGAGGTTGTAAATGAAACGATGATTCTCATTGGATAGAATTTTTTTAGATGAAAATTTGGAGAGCAAACGAAATCTTTCTTGGAGAGGCATACCATTTGCCATCTGTTCTAAGTTTAGCATGTGGTTAGATTTCCCGCCATCAAAAGCCTAAAAATCCATTGTTAAATTAGGCGAACCCGGATAAGTTTAAATGTTAAGTAACTTTTCAAGCTTGAAATGCCTAAAAATTTCTATTCATTGCTTACGTTAGACTGAAAGTAAGGATCTTCACAAATCTCTCTTGAATCCGAATTCCGGGAAGATCGAAGCAGAAAAGTATTTAAATGCAGCAAGAGCTTTATGGCGGATGTATCCAAGTATCATTAAAGAAGAAAAAAGGAGACGAAGCCTTTCCTATTGATAAATTCTAGAGGCTTTCTCTTAATTGTCCGACTTTTCTTCTACCACTTTTGGTCGTTACCAGAAGATAGGAAAATCAATTGCTCAATTTCTTTAAAAGTGGCTCGTTTTCGTCTTTTCTCAGTAAAGATTTGTAAACAGAAAGCTTTTTCCCTAAAGTTTTTGCTATTGACCGATGTATCACACAAATATTCGGCAAAGTTCCACAGTAGTGCCACAGTATTGGTCGGTAATTTTCATGTTTTTGAAAAATTTCATAGCCATAGACAAGAGCGCAGTGCTGTTCTTAACACCAACGAAATCAACGGATAAACGAAAATCGTAATTTTTCCCTTTTCATTACTTACCGGCTGCCAATGTTTTTTTAGTTACACTAAAATAATATCAACTCCTTTCCATATATACAGACTTTTGTTCATAACCTATATAGGCTATGCTACGACCTTTTTGAATAATGTATGAAACGCCAGAATTTGAAATCCTTGCCTACTCTGTTTTTGTGACACGATTGTGGAGAACAACAAACATTTTTGGCATTTGCTTATCATTATATTTTCGTTCAATATGTTCCGCTAAATTCCGTTTTACATTATCATAGGTAGCTGGGTTCTAGTTATGGTGTCTAAAATGTTTTTAAAAATCTAATCATCGCCTCGGCCAACCAAAAACAAGCAAAATTCCTGAAAACTTTTACGTCACTTGTAAAAGTTTTCTTACGATTCATTTTCGGGCGATTGATTATTTTTAAAAAACCTAAGTTATACACTTCATCACTGTCTGGTGTACGCAATTATAGAAAGACCAAGCAAACTCGCATTCGTCGCCATTAGAATGCGAGTGAGCCCATTCTCTCGCTACATGATTACATTCGAGCATATGTCGCCTGAGCTCCGGGATTGGTCCGACAGATGTAACAAAGTTGCTCTTTAAAATTCCATATTTTTTATACCAGCAGCGGAAAAAACATTTCGCATTTTTTGGAATAACAGTAGCATGTTGAATTTGTCCGAGGAAGTGCTCAGTCACACTGTAGTGAGGTAGATCAAAGTTTCCCGGAATAGATTCCTCTTTAAGGCACTCTTTTTCTATCCTCTGAGTTTCTGGACCTATTGTGTCATTATATCTTTGAACCATAGGTTTAACGCCAAGAATTATTGTTACGGTTTGCCCAATAATCAGCAAGAGAAACCAAGACTGCATAGTTCTTCTATTTTTTTCCAAACTTTCAAACGAACTGACTTACGAAAGTATGGAAAGTAACTTTCAACTAATGAACTAATTTAAGAATACAGGCTCTATTTATACTCATGGCGCTGTACTGGGATGGTGCATTAATTATTGATTATAACGGTTTTCTTGTTTAATTTGGGGTTTGAACCGAATCTCTTCCCACTTATTGTCTTTATCGTTATAAAAATTACTTTGCCGGATGGGAACTTATGTACATATGAGAAACTTTGCGAACAAAAAAAAAAAAAAAAAAAAAAAAATTGAATCAAGGAAGAAATTATTCATAAATTGTGATTACAGCAATCAAAACCAAAAAGAGAAACCCCTCCATAATGCTAATAAGTAAAATTTGCTGCAATCTCAACACCAAGAGATTTAAAAAAATTCCAAATTTTTCCACTTTCCCAACTCTTTCTTTCTTAAAATGCTCGCATGTTAAATATAATGACCTGAGGAATGTAAACATGCATATATAGTTATGTAGTTTGCAATTCTTAACTTTAACGGTTTCCATTACAAATCATCGTAATTAGAACTTATGTCCGTCATAAAACTAATTTAAAACAAATTAAAATATTATAGTTTGGCAAGGGCGAATATGAAATGCTATGCACCTCTTCGTTATAAGGTATTATGAGTGCAAAAAGTCGAAAAGCTTTATTCTTATTTCTTCTTATTTTCGACACCAACTGTCGAAGATTACACCTTGTTGCGATGAAGATCTTATTCTTAATAGGAACGATTTCATAAAACAACGGATTCAAAAATATTCGCATCTCATCATCAATATCGAAGATTGAAAAGTCTTTGTTGATCGGACAGCTTCGGTTCGTATCCTCGCTAAAACATGTGTTTGGGGAAAATTTGACAAAAGTATCTCGAAAATTTTGATTCAAATATATTTATATATAAAAATATATTGTTACGAAATTTGCTTTTCGCGGATACGGTTCGTATTACTAGATCGTGGATCTTCTCTTTAAGAGAACTACACTGGCACGTTTTTACTACAAGCCGCCTCCTTTATTTACAATCAATTTGTTTAAGGGTAGGACTATGTACATTTTAGTTTGGCAATGCTCCCGACTCTAATTTTCTTTTTCGACTCCAATGTTTTTATCCGACTGACGCTGCCTTCCACAAATAGTCGGTTTACATACATTTTTGCAAGCATATTAGTATTACCTAAGTTCGGGCTTCATTTTTAATCCATTAACCTACTTTTCCACTAATCAGCCGGCAGCTAAATAGCGGGCCGCGAATGTTCACTTGGGTTTTCCCCCTCTAGGGTATTTATTATTTGGGAAAATCAATAAGTTGGAATAAACTGGGTTTGGGATGTGCTTAACAATATGAACCCCGACCTTCTGGGTTGATTGGTATGATAAACGATGAGACTTGGTTTCGAATACGTTCGCACAAAATTATGCCATAAAATAGGGTGTAGTGCTAAATTCGATATGAAAGACTTGTAAAAATTGCTTTGAACATTCGATATTGCATTTCAATTCTTAGTTGTTGTGAAAATATATTCTTATCCCACAAATCATTTTTTTTTTTTGGAAAGATTCACGTGATCGTAGAAGCAATATGGTAAACAAAAGTTGTCAGGGTTCGTTAAAGTCCGTTGAGAACTGCTATTTCCAAGTTAGATACTTATCTACTTAAACCACCTTAGGCAAGGTGCTTAGCTAGCTAAGCAAGGCAATTAAAAGTAACACAGTTTGATAAAAACAAAGCTGCTAATGTTTTCTGGTTCATGCTAGATCTGCTTCTTGCTGGATAATCAATTCGCAAAGTGCATGCGTATTGGCTGTAAGTATGGTTGTAACTGCCCACCTCCGTTCTCTATGCTGATGCAGACGATAACACATTGTACACTAATCCGCTTAATAAGAACGCTAAGCTCATTAGGCATCACAATCACATGCAATAGGTATCAAAGAAATTATGTAAATATTTTGGCATAATTCATATGTAACTAAAAATTGAAATTTAATGAAAAACAAATATGCGTTGCAAAGCTTTATAATAATAGAAATGTTCACCACCACCTTCCGTGGGGTCTGCGTGCTATCGAATAACTTAAGGGTGCCTTTGGGGCAGTAACTTCCTGATTTGGAGGCGTAACAGTCATTGGCTCATTCAGGTACTTATTGAAGTTGATGATCATTCCCCGGGTTGCTTTTATTGGAGACAGATGAAATTTTCATCGTTTTGAAGACTTTTTGTATTTTGTATTCGCAAACCAAGCTCTGACTGTTTCAAGGCTTAGTGCATTTCCATCACAAATCAATTTAGTAGTTTCCGTCGCTTAAGATGCTTTTTTACCAGTTCGATTCCGCCTAAAACGGAATAACAAGCCGTGCCGTAAATAACATTTATGCCACTTTGTTGCACGCTGAACGCGTCACGAACAAGGGCCATTATCTAAGCTATGTAAAGTCAAAATTTCGGAAAAAATGAACGCCAAGCAATTTAAATTTACAGATATTATTTGTACGGCGAATAATTGATTGCTCTGACCTTATGATGTCTGGATTTCTGTCTGTCCTTCCTTCGAAAGTAAGGCACTCTTCCTTTGGCGTCTTCATGAAACGGAACTTGATTCGGTTGAAAGCTATTTTGTGTACACTTCAGCGAAACATATAATGAGGCGTAAAGCTTGAACGCGGAGAAATTATTTTAAGTTCGGCGATTGCCTACAAAGAAAGTGATGCAAGTCCTCTCTTCGAAAAACCGGTAAAGACTTATTTATACATTTAGTACTTAAGTCCTTATAGTTGTTAATTAATTTTCTAGTGCACCTAGAGGTGCGAGGCGAAAGCAAAACATCTTTCACTTTAAAATTGAAATAAAATAAAAATATTGATCGTAACAAAGGCAAGAATTTTCATAACAAATTAAAATCGCTTGATATTACATAAGAAAATTTACAGAAAAAACTCAAGGCAAAGTATCTGTAAGACAGCTTTAAAGGAATCTTGATTGACATTAAGCTATCATCACTTCCGGGAAAACTCATTTTATTGGTGTTGTGTTTATTTCAATAAATTCACGATACATTTTTAAAGAAAAAATGTTTTCAATATTTATTGCGTAATATCAGTGGTGAAGTTGAAAAGAATTTACTAAAAGAATCAAGCAGCGACAATCATTAGTTTTTCTTTCGATTTTTTCTCCCCATTACTGGAAACGTTTATGTTAAACACAAACTTGTCAAGTGAAACTTTAAGATAGACAGACCGCACAACTATGTACATAAATTAATTGAATTGTTTTTGAAAATGTGACGGAGGAATGAAAAATGTTGACTTTTACAAATTATGTACTTTGGGTATACTGCTCAGCTGTGAAGGGTGAAATAAAGGGAATTAAAGAAATAAGCGAGAAAGAGAGAGAGAGAGAGAGAGATAGGAGACTGACTGCATTGACTGACCATATCTTCGTTAATTGTTAGATTTCTCTGTACATGCGGTTAGGAGCAGAATATCGGATTTTGTTGCATCGCACGAAAATGCTACAATGTAATGTTTAGAGAAAAGTTGCATATAACCACAGCTACTTTCTCCTTTGGTTGATATTTTCGTTTTAAACGTTCGTACAGATTTTGCGAAACCATCAGAACAGAAGCAACCAGATGTTTCCCGGCAGCACTAGCGGCAGCAGCAGCAGCAGCAGCAGCAGCAGAGTATATTAAAACTAACGTTGTTACTATAGTTGCTTAAAATATTGTAATAAAACTGACTGTAAATATGGATGCGCAAGGGAGGGGGCATAAATAGAGTAATATAAAGACGTAAAGATAAAGCAATAATAAAAACAATTCAACAAATTTAGAAAAAATGAAATTAGAAACAGACAAAAAGACACAATGAGATAAATGATGTTCAACTCAAACGTGCGAGCGATGAACGAAGAAGAAGATTCAAACATATGTTAGTGGGTGTAGCAGTTTCTATATATATGCGAACAAGTGTTCATGTACACGTTGAAAGACTGATGGTTACTATTGGATGCATTACAGCATACCATAGCTTCATGTATTCTACTCGTCCTTCTTCTTTACGAATTGATGTTGTCGTAGGTATGAGGAGAAATGTGAAAATACAAAAGATATCTTTTAATTGCTGCTGCTTCTAAGCGTTAAGCAATTTGTCTTCTTACTAAAGTAGAAAGATTTTTCTTTCCTTCTTCTTATTCCTTTTGTTTTGTTCTTGTTCTTATGATTCCACTATGCAGTATAAGTCCCATTGGTGACATACATACCAATGTTTTGCACAATTTTTTTAATGTTCTATTGCTTGTTATACTGTCTGTCTGTCTATTTGTCTGTCCGTTCGTCTGTCTTTTGTTTGTTGGCATTCAAGTTAGTATAGTTGTACTTAGGGACTGTAAATGAGTGCCACTAGGAAGAGCCTGCACTACGTACTCTGGATTAATAAGATTTAAACTAAAAGTAATGCTTCAGTCAACTAAAATGGTATGGAAGATATCTGCCTACATTTACACACACACGTATAATGCGTACGTATACAATAGTCTTACGCTTTCCAGCTGTTAATTGTTAAGCCAAATTGCAATTAAATCCACGGCTTTAAATCCGTTTAACTTCACTTTGTTTTCCTGCATTTTCTTCATTTATAAATAAATGCTTTACTGTTCTCAGATACTTTATTCTTCTCTCTCCTTCTCTCTCTCTCTCTCTCTCTCCCTCTCTTGTTTTTGCCTTTGATTGTCTCTTGTTATGGTGTACATAAGTGATTATTTTTTAAGTAGGATTATATGGAGCAGTCAAATTAATCAATCTGAAAGGAAAAGATTTTTTCATTATCTACGTCCGCTTCATTATAGTCAGACAATAAGTCAGACAACTTTTTTGAAACACAAAGGCCTATAAAAATTATTATGAGCTTAGCACATCCATTCCAGGCGATAAATACAGCAGCAGTCATATTCTCAGCACCATCACAAAGATGCAATAACTCGCAAGCCTTGCTTTATGTTTTTTGTTACTTAAAAAATTATTTTTAT